AAAGAATGAATGGAATAAAGAAAGAACAAAAGAAAGAAACAGAAAAGTCAAGGCCACCAATATCCGGCAGAGAGCAGAACATGATGCAAGCAAAAAAAAAAAAAGTACAGCAAAAACACTTACTTTTGTATTTGAATTGGGCTACTTTTAAATCATTTGACCTTTTAAACAACACTCATATCTAATTTTCCTCTTCATTTAGAATTTTCTAGTCTGAAATTATTACTTGGCACTCAGCTAGGGTTAGTAAATGCACACGTGTGCCACCATTGGCACATGAGCGATAATAACTAGAGCGATTAACATTATTTATATATTTATTACATTTATTTAGCTGTTTTTTTTACAAATGCTGAAGCATCTGTCCCTCGCATCTGTGTGTCACATTCAGTATTACAACAATCCTTCCTCGCAATAGTCACAGAATGTTTATTTATGTTTCTTAATATGCTATATGAGAAGTCATATGATACAAAAGCGCAAAAAAAGATGCAAGAGTTGTTACAAGGAAAGAAACTACGCATGTTGTGTATTTAAGAAGGAAAAAAGACATATTCATCACTTTCACTTGCTTTATGTGTCAGAATCCAATATCTAAATATTAAAGTTAAATCTCTGTTCAGGTTCAAGTTTGAAAACAACATATCAGAACTGCAAAGTCAACTCAAGTCAACTATTGATGGGCTTAACGAAAAAGAACCTTGTTACTCTTGAACTCACTGAAAAGATTAAATTAAAAAATGAAATCCTACTTTGAAAAAGATTTGCCAAGCTTGGACATATTTGAACAACTTTCTGCAAAGGTGCAGTTTATGAAACACCTATTTGTATCAGTGCTGATCCAGAATTTAGTCTCCGTTAGGATGTGTGAAACCTAAATCAGCACTCTGACTTTGAAAATTTTGAAAGGTCTCATAGAAACAGCTTTTTTTTGTGACAGAGAGCCAGTTATCTGGAAGTGCCTGTAAAGCTAGAGAGTTTGTGATGGAAACTCTACTAAAAACAGAGTCTGACACCATCCACAAACACAACAACTTTCATTGGTGTAGAGAAATCTGACAGAGCTCATACACTCGCACACACACACTTTCACACACACCCCCATATACACCTCCTCACTCCACTGGTGAGGGATTTTTCCATTTGCACCTCTCCTACCCCTATTGTGCTTCACAAATCAGAACGACAGACAACAACTCTCCTCCGCCCACAGCCCCGCCACTCACCGTGATCCACCTCTCTCACTATCTTTCTCTCTCTCTCTGGGGAACACCAGCATCATGCATAAACAAGACCTTCCCTTTATCCTCTCGCTGTAAGCCTAGAGGAGAAAACTCAATTTGTATGCGTGTGTTCGGAGAAAAAGAAGAATCTCCCTGCTTTGTGATAATCCCTGCCCAACACGCAATGAGCTTTTCTGGTTCTTTTTTCTTCTAGCTCTGCTTCTTTCGGTCTGCAGCTTTGTGGGATTGAAGAGACATACGAGGAATGGGACATACATAGGAATATATATGGGACATACTGCATTATTACTCTTGGATCCATCATATATACAACAGAAAACAATATCTAATATAGTCAGTCACAGATTCTCAAGGTGCAGATTAAGTGTTTAGATACTTTGTGGGGTTGCACACTGAGCCTTGTTGCTCATATGAGAAATGCAATTTGAATTCTGCTTGCAACATGCTCTGATTCCATTATAAGATCACATTATCCTGTCATTCCCCACTATACCTGTCTGCAAAGTCATGCAAAAGCCTGGAAAATGAAGAGTGTGGGGGGAGGAATGCTTTGTTTGAGCCTTGGTGCACATACAAGAAATTAAAGTTTGAGTTAAACCTGCAACGTGCTCCAATCCCATTCTTGCTCACTTTTTATAATTTTCCACTCATTATAATATCCACTATGCTTGTCTAAAAAGTTGTCTAACAGCTTATGGCCCCCAAAAAAAAGAAAAGAGTGAGGAAAAAAAGTGGTCATATGAGCCTCGGTGCAAGCGCAAGAAATGCAAGTTCAAGTTCAGCCTGCAACATGCTCTGATCACATTCACTCTCACTCTCCATTTAATTTTCCTCTTATTCTCCTTTATATCTAAAAAGAAACTAGGCAAAAGCTCCAATAAATTGAGAGAGTGGGGGAGTTCAGCATCTGTGAAATAGTTAATATGAGCCTTGGTGTTTATATGGGTGCTGCAAATTCAAATTCAGCCTGCAACACGTCCAATCCCATTCCCCCTCACTTTACCCATACTCTTCCTGTTATTCTCCACTGTACCTGTCTGAAAAATATGCAAAAGTCCAGAGAGAAAGAACGAGAGAGCACTGAAGCAGTAATGAACTCTTCAGAAGGAAGTTGAGGATTAATTGATCTGTAGGAGTCGTGCTGGAGGAGAGAAAGCTGTAATTAAGCTACAGAGGTTCTGAATGTGGTTTTATAATGACTGCTACAAACACATTCACTCAGAGACGTTCCATATGACATCGCACTCGCAAGTAATTGCAGTCTCATGCAACTCTGACAAAGCCGTTTTGCTCCAAGACTGGTGAAGTACTGTTTTATTTACAGAATTTTACCATTTTATGTCACTGGAAAGCAGTACAGTGGCTTTGCTATCTCAATAGATCAAATCCTCATGACCTTACAACCCTACTGGTGAAAATGGCACTGCAAAGGCACAGGTGTTTAAACATCTGTACCGTTCAGCCTTGCATGGTAACTGGACTATGTCCAAAAAATTGATATTATACGAAATGCCTGTGTATATGTGACATACTTTATGTAAAATGTATTAAAAGGCAGTGAAGGTTGTTCTGAGAGGTCGGGATCTGCTTATTTATGGATTATTTAATGAATATTTTTTACATCCATTCAGTCGGGTCAGACCATCTACCAGCACTAATGCTTTAGGCTTGAATGTCTGTGAAGTTGCAAACTTAATTAAAATACGGAACATTCCTGTGTCGGCTTCAATACATATTGTCATTTTTCTAATTTATTCCCTAAGAAATCCATGAATGGCCCCTCTGCCCACGTAATGAAACAATGACTTTCAACTCTCTCCTCCCTCCCTCTACTGAGTTGACTTATTCAATCTCCTCTCACCCTTTCAGGCGACAGACACTGTGCCTGTATTGTGACGGCACAAATGAACAGTGGAAATCTCATCTCCTATTTGGTGGTGCGAGGTGCTCAACCAATCAAATATTCGCCTTCTTTCACCTCTAAAGCATTTGAAGGAACATTGTCAGAGTCTTAGAAGCCCATTTACTTCCTTATCTAATATTAATCTTCACGTTCATCTTGCTCTTTTTGAGCCCAACGGGTCAGCTGTAATTGGTGGTTTGCTATCAATTGAAATCATACTTGAACAGCAGTGACGCAGAGAAAATTTAAGTTGGTACACTTTGCAAAGTTGACACACACCAAGAATATTGTATTTCAAGCAACACCTTTAAAGGGACAGTTCACAAAAAAAGTCAGTCACACTTTATTTTAAGGTCCAATTCTTGCTATTAACAGACAGATTTTCAAAATTGGGCTGACATTCTGGTCACTTTTGCTTTTACTATATTGAGTATTTCTTTTCATCTTAGCTGTAATAAAATTCATTATGGCCATTGGGAACAGTGTTGGGTGTATTGCATTACTACATTTTTACTGTACTTTAATTACTTTTGCCTTGAAAAGTTAAATACGGGATACTCTTACTCTGTAATTTGACTACACAGTTACTTTTGATGTAATAGCTTTAAACACTGTATAGACTATAGAACAATTCTATATAAAACAAGAGTGGATTGGTCACACTTTATTTTAAGGTCCAGTTCTCGCTATTAACAGACCATTAACTACGACTTTTGCCTCAATAAACTCCTAATTTGCTAGTATTAATAGTTCGTAAGGTAGTTGTTAAGTTTAGGTATTGGGTAGGATTTGGGATGTAAAATATGGTCATGCAGAATATGTGCTTTATAAGTACTCATAAACAACCATTATGTTAATAATGGGCATGCTAACAAGGAACTAGATAATAGTGACAGTTGGTCCCTATACAAAAGTGTTACCAAAAAGTCTCTATTTATTCTATGGAAATAAATATGGAGAGGAGAAAAATATAAAAATACTTAAACTATGAAAATTAAATGTGTACTATGACAATAATGGAAAAAATAAACATAGCAAAATAAAAACATTAATTTATTAAATACGTATACAAAATAAATAAACAGCATAATAACCCTCAAAACAAATAAATAGCATAAGAAATAAAATGTAATATATGTAATAAAAAAATTAATTAATTAATAGTTACACAGAAAAATAATAAAACTGCAAAATAATGCAACTGCAAAATAAAGTGCAAAATACTACTCTTTTTTTTGTAAACTATTCCTTTAAAACCCCTATACAACCAGAAACACAAAAGCTTATAGAAACAGAAAGGCGGAGAGTATTTCACTTTTTTTAAACTTGTGGCTTGAAAAGGAGTATGAAATTTTTTGTCAAGAAAAAAAAACCTGTCTGTACTTCTGAATGGTGTGAGAAGCATCTGCCTCTCACCTCTCTCCCTCTATGTGTCCTTCACTTCTCTTTTCTTAACACCTTGTGCTCCCTCTCGATCATTTCACAGAGTGTGTGTCTCACAGGGATTGTTAGAAGAAAAAAAGGGAAAAGAAAAACAAGAAGGGACACACAACTGTCAAGCACCACTGATTGAAACTGCAAGGTCATTTTAAAGAGTGAGAGAAGAGGGGAGAGAAAGAGACGCTCTTTGGCATGTCAGTCTCACTCCAGTGGGGTGGGTGTGTGTGTGTGTAGCACAGAGACGCTGAACAAAAGGAAGCAGCTCTTACAGGTGAATGATACATAGTTAAGCGACTCTTCACCCTGATGACTTCAGGGGCTCCTCTCCATCATCGCCCTATTCACTCCTTCCATCCTATTCACACTGCACCTGCCAGCCCCTCCATTCAGCTTCTCCCCATCCCCTCGCTCACCTTGTAGCTCCCCGCTTTTGCTGTAGAGTTCCCTCCTCTGCTCTCGCAAGTACGCGCTCATGCTAATGGCATGAGAAGACGACTCAAACCTGCAAAAAGAAGTCATCAAAGGTCAAAGATCACGTAGGAAAGCAGGTCAAGGGTTTTCATTTTAGTTTAACCTGAAATCAAATGTGGGTTGTAAACCCAAGAGGAAGGAGAAAATAGTTTCCCATGAGGCACTTAACCCAGCCTATTCATGTGGTTCTTGTCTGCTGTAACCCTTCCCATTCCAATTCAATTCCTGAATCACCCTGCATGAGCAAACGTACTTGAATAAAGACTGTTTAGGTCGGAGAGGTTTCTTCTTGGCGAAGAATGCTCCGAAGTCTCCGCCGGTGCTGGCGTAGGACAGCTGGGCGGAAGGCTCTGCAGCGCTACGGGTGTTTTTGACATCCAGGTAGTCCATTAGCAACACCTGAGAGAGCATAAGAGCAGGTTTTGACTGACACATGCAGTATTTTAATGTTTATTCAGTTATACATTACAGTAAACATCCAAATTCATTTCACTTTTTGACACTTTAAGTAGCTGTTCCACTAGACGTGCTAAACAGATAGTGATAAACAACTTATTAGAGCACTTACTGGCACTGCACTTTGAAAACATAAGCGAATGGGTTTAGAATAGGGATGGAATGGCCGATTAATCCAAGGATTTTTAAAAACTTTTTGATGCCAAGGACACCCAAATGAGATGATTCACTTGCGAAAAGACTCCTTTCTAAATATAAAGCCAGCTGTGTAATTTCATGCGTATACAGAATAATTTATGTGAGAAAAACATGATTTTTTTTGTTCATTATAATTAAAATAATTATGTACAATTAAACATTTTAAATAATTAAACAATTATTTATTATTCATCATTTATTGTAATTTAAATACAAAAAAATTTATTACTCTGTATGAAGCTGACAGCATATTGTTTTCTCCCCACTATTAGATTAATGCCGGTTTCACACTGGACGCGCAAGCAGAGCAGAGGCAGAGCAGAAGCGGTGCGTATGCAGCTGAACTGGGGCTTGTGTGCTGCAAATACAGATGAGTATCGTTCATTTAGTCATGCTTTTCAGGTGTTCTCCTACAACTGTCTGTCATGTGCTTTGATATGGGCAGCATGCTGTGATGCGGCCGTGTTCCCCTCTGTCACGTGAATATAACATGCTGTACATATAGTTTACATGATAAAAAGTAATCTTAAAGTTAATAAATGCCTCTAGTTTTAATAATTTAAACAAGCCTTTGAAGTTTGGGCAATAACTCCTGGCAGTGATGTGTTTTCGTGTAGTTGATTCTGTGCTAACTCTAATATTTGATGTTTTTTAATCATGTAGATTTAAGTAGCAAATGAGAATCGCTAAAATTATTGAATATATTTTGAGACAAAGGTCTTCTTAACGATTCCCAGTTTGGTTTAAGATAATTAAAGCAACCGTTTTCAGTTTCAATAACGAGAAGAATATGTAAAAGTATGGTATTTGGGGTAAAAAGCGCCCCTGCTTTTGGGGCTAAAGGCACAATAATTAACATGATAATTAATAGATGGCTGACTTTTCCAATTGTTGACATGACTTGGTTAGATTCAGATGGTAAATATCATATATTATGTTGGCTGTCCACCTTAGAGATAATCACCATGTTTATAATGAAACCATCATATTTAAAAACATGATATTAATCATATCATAAAATATAATTTGTTGTTACTACTGTAAATCTATATTAAATTATTATGGGATCGCCTTCATAATCTGTACTTTTTATTTTGCTTCTGTATTTTAAAATATATTTTTATATTAATATTTTAATGACAGCATATTTACTGAACGTTATTCATCAAAATAAGCAGAAAATAGCCTAGTACAAACTTTGCTAAAGTGATTGTTTTGAACAAGTATTAACTTAGACATTATTTAAAAAATAACATTATTTTAGCTAAAGTAGCCTATTTATCAAATACTGTGTGCCTTTTACCCCGTGATTGTGAAACACGAAACACCTCACTTACATGATTTTATGGTGAAATTGTTATTTTTCATGTTAATCAGGTAAATTTTGATATAGAACAATGCACTGTGGCTTTAATTCAGCGTAAGCGGCGCAGCAAAAATAGACTCGGCGCCGAAACAATCGCGGCACTGCGGCTTCTGCTCCTGCTACGGACTGCCGCGCCGCCTCTGCGTGCGGTGTGAATGCTCTAATCTGATAACATGGGCGCTGGAAAAAATATGCGCTGCTTACGCGTGCGGTGTGAAACTGGTCTAATGATATAAATATACACTATTGTTCAAAGGTTAGGAGTCAATAAGACTATGTTTTTGAAAGAAATTTCTTCTGATCACTAAAGCTGCATTTATTTAATCAAAACAGAAAAATACTGAAAAACTGTAATATTGTAACATTTTTCTACAATTTAAAATAACTGATTTCTATTTTAATACATTTATTTTACATATATAGATATATTAATATATTTCAGTTGTCACATTATCCTTCAGCAATCATTCTAGTATAGTGATTTGGTGCTCAAGTAACATTTCTTATTATTATCAATGTTGAAATAAGCAGTTGTGTAAAACGGTTGTGCTTCATTTTCAAAAGATCAGTTTACATTTTTTTTCATTATTCTTAGATGAACAAAGTAGAACTGCATTTGAACTGCATTTATTTGTAACAATGTAATGTTTTACTGTCACTTTTGATTGATTTAATGCATCCTTATTGAATAAAAAATAATTTCTATTAATTAATAATAATTCCTCTAAAAAAAAATCTTGCTGACCCCAAACTTTTGAACTGTAGTGTATAAACCTGAAAGAAAGAAAAACACATTTTCAATTCATTCTGATTTATTTGTACAGAGATTTAAACACAAAATATTGTTCATAACATTAACTTTGAAAGCTCTAAAATTCATTTTCTAGTTAAGTTATGTATACCCCTAGTCTCGAATGACTTGACTGCATCAGTTTGAACCAATCTGTTTCTAGTTCTGTCTCAGGCCCATCTTTCCCGGCTGTCTGTGTAAATTCGAACGCCTGCCATGTCCGCCAGCAAAACCCATTAACTCTGATTAAAACTGCACATCCGAGTTCATGAATATCCCATTCAACACTATCCATAACCATTAAGGGAGGTTCAAACAGCTGCAAGAGGACTGAACAAGAAGTTCAAGTAAACTTTTCCACAAATTAGCAAGCCATTTTCCAATGGCTCTATAATTTAGTGAAGCAATTTGCTTGGTCTATTTCTAAATCCCAGCTGCAAAACATTGCAAAGTGGAGATGGAATTAGGAAAGGACAGATGGAACTACATCTGACTGATAATAGCATAATTAAACAGAGATAAGAAGGGAACTGTTTATGAGAGGAGGGGAAGCCTCATCAACAGCTATTCCTCAACCCACAGACAAGTCCAATCTGGCCAGGCCGTTACATTCCTGTCAGATTATTAATTACTAATGCCCATCTGATCCAGTGATGGAGCGGGTCTCGCATGTAGACCCCCAACTTAATTAAATGCCAGCGTTTGCCTGATGAAGGAGTCTGGACCCACTTCAATGACCTCGGAGAAGGGAACACTGAACTTTTAAAGGCAATTAACCATGGAGGATGAATGGATGGTGGGAGAAAGAAAGAGAGAGAGAATTCATGATGAAATCAGTAAACACAAGAAGGGGGACAGATGGAGAGAGATATTCAAGAGAGATTAAAAAGTGATAAGTCAGCAAATTCATCCCAGCAAAGCAAATTACAAAATTCCTGTAGTACAATGCAATACATTTTCAAGTTCCCTTCATATGGAGCTTACTTTTTTTACTTAATGCTTTATTATCTAATCAATGTGCCGTACAATAGAAATTTGTCTTTGGCATTGGCATAAAAAAGACAAAGGTACACAATTAATAGAATAAAAAAAAAAGGTAAAATAAAGTAAGAAGATATTAAAAAAAACATTAAAAATAATAATAAAAAAACTTCAAATGTAATGTAATGTTGTCACAGCTACGGTGGAATGAAACGCACGAGGAAGATGATGAGCAATGCAAATAGTCTTTAATAAATCCACAAGAGGGTAAATCCACAACAGAACAGGCAGAAGCACACTTTGGGACGTAGTAGACCGGACGACAAACAGTGAACTGAACACAACTTAAATAGGAGGGCTGATGAGGGTAATTAATGACACACACCTGAACCAAATGACAATAATCAGACATGAGGAAAAACTAGGTCACACAGAACATGAGGAATGAAAACACAACAAAAGTCCAATGGGGTGTGACAAATGTAAATGTATGTTTAATAAAAAAAAAAACTTTAAATAAAATAAACTTTAAAACTTTAAAAGTCAAGAAATAAGATATTTCTTGATATGAATAAGATATTATTATGACTACTTCAAAAAATTTTTGAAAGCCTGGCAGAGCTGGTGGACTGACGGGCCACGGTGGAGAGGAGGGAGCTAGGAGCCATGGTGGAGCCGATGGTTCGAAGGGCCGAGGCGGAGTCCAGGACCGGAGGCTGGAGGTGGAGACAAGGGATCCTCCAGCCACGACGCCAATGGAGACTGGCAGACCCGCGGCTATCCCACCGCACAGATGGTGGGCTGAGGGTGAGCAGAGGGGCTGCCAGGAAGCAGCGGGGGTGGAGCTGAAGAAACCGGGATGACAGGAGGAGCAGGAGAGGGAGGGTGGTTGGTCATCCAGACAGGTAGAGGGTTCAGGGACGGTGTGTGCCGCCCACACGCACCACATTGCGACTCCCAATACCGGGATCGCCAATGACAGGGGAACGACCTCCATGGTCGTTTCAGGACAGATAGACAGTTCGGGATGGGCAGACAGTTCAGGGCAGACAGAGAGTTCAGACAAAGGCGGGAGAAGAGCGGGCATGTCTGCATATATATCCTCTATATATGCAGTGGTTCTCAACCTTTTTTTTCACTGGGCCGCACTATGGTCCAAGTGCAAGTCTCGCGGGCCGCACGCATATCATTTACATATTACGTCAGAAATACAAACCAACCTGATTTATTACGTTAAGTAGTAATTAAAAAATTTCTATAGGTATATTTATCATGTCTGTGAGGCATGTATTCGCTGAGTTTCGGTTCATTTTTGTGAGGCGTGCCTGTTCAAGACGAGACGGCAGAAAGCGCAGCATGTTTGATTTCTTTATTTTATAAAAGCACAACGTTTTGTTGATATTGTGATTGCACACAAATAAAAGTAGACCCTTTACAGTTACGAATGATGTATTACTCACCTTTATGAGTAAAAATGACAGTGTATTCACTGAAAATAATAAGTGATCGCACTGGCGTCTCTATGTCCTGCAAAGCGCGCTTCAGCTTCCACTCTCCGCGCAAAATATTGGATATAGCGCACCTTTATCTAGGTTTAACGTTTAAACA